ATGAGGAGCTGCCTCTGCAGCTGCTGCTTCTGCTTCAGCGCCAGGAGCTCCTGCTGCAGCTGCTGCTCGCGCAGGGCGGGCTCGGCCACGGGCAGCGGGAACTGGTGGTCCAGGCGCAGGTCCATGGGCACGGCCGGCGGGGCCACCTGCAAAGGCAGCGCTGAGGCCACCTCCACTGTGGACAGAGCACAGAAGAGCCGTCACTGCGGGGCACAGCGTCCGCGGCCCCGAGCCACCCACCCCCTCTGCCCAGAGCCCTGCAAGCACCAAGGGGTCCCCACGTGCTGGAGGACGTTTCACGTGTCAGAAGTGTCCCCTACTGTCCAGCGCAGCAGGCTCATGGTGCGGGGCTCAGAGTCGCCTCTGTCACCCGCACGGCGGAGGGCAGACCAGGACGCACGCGCACCCTCCCCCCTGCGCCCGCCCTGCACGGGGGCCCCCGCTCGCGCGGAGGACCCGGCTGCAGCCCCACTGGCCTCTGAAGGCACTTCTGGAAGCCAACAAAGAGCGAGGAGGAGCAGGCTCTGGAGAGCTCCGCGCAGGCGGTGGAGAGGCCGGCTGGCCGCTGCAGGCTGTGTGCCCGACACGGAACGCTGTGTGCCCCAGGAGCGGTCCAGAGCGCTCGGCGAGGCCCGTTGCCATGGTGACGTGGGCGCCCGCTCGGAAAACATGTTTACGGCCGCAGCCAATAAAGGCCCTGCCCGCCGGGCCGCCCACGCACATCCATCAGGACCGCGTTCTCAGGCTTCACAAAGACACGGTTCCCTGCCCCGCCCCAATGGGCAGCCGAAGGAAAGCTACAAGTGATTCTTTTGATTAGAAACACAGTCAAATCAATCTTAATGCTTACAAATCAATAACAAATTATTACAAGAAAAGGAAAAGGAACACAGGAAGAAAGCAAGTTTTAAGTTACAGAAATCCCCAAACATCGGATGTGGGTGCCCTGCTGGGACAGGCCCACATTTTGTCAAGTCCACAAGCACACGTGGTGCCCGGCCGGCCAGCGGCGGCGGCTGCTTCCCAGACACTCAGCGGCGCCCTGGGGCCCTGGGAGGATGTGGAGAGCTCACCGTCCGGCTCTTCCAGACAGCTCCCCTTACAACCTGCTCCGGGCTCATTTCTTCATCAACTGAGAAACACCAGACCCGGGGAATGGGAGGAGGGCGTGTCCCAGGCTCAGACGGGAGCCCCAACTCAACAGAGGCGTGCCACCAAGGACCAGCTCCTCACATCAGGGCCATCTACGCCTGGACCCTCAGCACAGGCCATGTTATGTCATCCGAGAGTGGCCTCCCTACATGCCTGGGACCTGACGCCGAGGCCGCAGAGCCCCGGCTACAGACATAACCCAGTTCCTCAGGACGTGTGGGCTCCCAGCCCCGTAGCCCAGGAGTGGAACCGCCCTCGGGACAGGGTGTTTCTGGGGTCACTGCCGAGGTGGTAGGCCCACGCTGGCCGTTCTAATAAGGCAAGGCTGGGCGCCCTGGGTTCTGCGGCCCTGAGCCGACGCAGTCAGGGGGCTCTCTGGGCCCCGGTGTCCGGACCTAAATCTGTCACTGCACCTGCAGGGCATGGCCACGCAGGCAGAGCCCAGGAAGTTGCCGGACGGCTCTCTGGTTCCTTCCGGGCCAGGTCCGCGCACCAGGAAACAGGAAAGAGACAGGCACCACATAAACACCACCAGCTGATCGTTTCTCTTCTGGTCCCTAAGGCAGTGGCATCCACCCCAACTTTTTAAATGTATGCATTTACTTTTTTCTAATGGGGTGTCAGGCCTGACAGAGTAAGAGGCTTCTAGCTGATGTTAATGTGAGAAAAAGCGACACAAATGGTGTTTTCACAAACAGGACCAGGGAACAGTGGTGTCCTCCCCCCACGCCCTCCCCGCATCCAAGCTGGTCCAGACTGGATTTTGTTAATCTCTTCTTTCCTGTTCACTTTGATTACAAGACTCAGAGCCAAGCGGAGCCTGTGAACAGCACCAGTTTAGAAACCTCAGCATACTCCTGGATCGCTTCAGACTTCCCCGTAGGAGTGAGGCAGTGTGGAGGGCGGAGCAGCTCCGTGCAGAGCAAGGGACACAGCATTTGAAGGCTTTCCCTGGGGGCGGGGGTCCTGCCTCACGTGCGATAGTTCTGCGTGATCCCTAAAACCGTCGGGGCTGGGACGGTCGCCAGGTTCTGCGGTTTCCTCCGGGACCACAGGTGGGGCCACAAAGCTGCTCTCCATCAATCTGTTAACGTGCCTCGTCACCTCCGATCACAGGTGAGCTACTTAACACACCTTCTCAGGTCAGTCTGCCTTTGCTTTCGAAGTATGCACCTGACTTTGCCGTCCTTGGTGACACACACACACAGTCCCTGGTGGACGCAGCCTGTGATCGGTTTACGTGGCCTGAGGATGTTTGCGTCCGTGTTCACAGGTGACAACAGCCTATGCTGTTGTCTCACACTCTGCTTGTCCCTCGTCAGCACTGGTGCGGGCGGGCCCTGCATGCTGACCACACACAAGCTGGGGTTCGCCTGAGTCTGGGAATCTTCTCGGGACACCCGCCCTGGCAGCCCGTGAGTCCTTCCGCAGACACCAGAGCCGACTGGTCCAGTGAGGGCTGTCGAGGGGGCACGCCTGTGGGCCAAGCTCCCCGCTGCCCAAAAAGGGAGCAGGCGCGGGCAGGCTGCCGGGGCGGGGCCGGTGGCAAGGGGCCTTCAGAGGACGTCATCGCTGCCCGCACTGCACATCTCACCCTTACAGGGATGGAAGTCCTGCCCAGCTTACCACTCTGAGGCATCACGGAAAACTTGCTTCTTCTGCTACAGAAAGCCGGAAGCAGCACAGGGAGCGAAAGCTGCCCGTTCCCTAAGTCAGACACGCCGCAACCAGCTACCGCCACGTCTTATTCTCTGAAAAACGCGCTGCGTCTCCGATTGGACAGAAATGAACATCTGAGCCGACGTGGGCCAAGGAGACCCACGCATGGCTCCCGAGACAGGCTGCCTTCTTGCCCCCAGGGTGCCGCACACCTGGCCGCCAGGTGGGAGGCGTGGCGAACCTGTCCCCAGGCCCTTCCCTGCACGCCAGCTGCACAGTCACAGTCCCCGCTCATTCCAGTCCCTGGCAGGTGCATCATATATGACTTGTACTATTGGGTCATCGGAAAAGTCATGACGTATTTTTTTCTACATTTTTCGTTGCAAAAATGCGTCATGACTTTTCCAACAACCCAATATTTCTGTATCAAAAACTATTTCAAATGCCATGAGTTCCCAACAGAAGCTGCTAGTGTTTTTGACCCAAAGCGCCCTGAAGGAAACAATAAAACCTTCTCTACTTAAAGAATGCAGCGTCACAACAACAAAAGCCTGTATTCTCATGAATATCTATGGTGGAGGGGAAAACCGCTTTTATAGGTTGTGCCTGAGAAACATGTTAGTACAATTAGACTCGTGACGTTCGTACAAAACAAAGCCTGCATTCAGAGCCTGTCAGAGTGAAGCCTGCGCGCGTCACCAGCTCTCATCACAGACAGACAAAACCCGGCAGTCTCCCTCTCCCTCTCCAAGTCAATGACCCTAAGAAAGGACACTGCCATCTGCCAGCACATGGGTTAGGCCCCCTCGTCACGCACCACACGGAAGAGAAATGAGCAGCAGCACTATTCTTCAGAAAAACATGACCAAAGCTTGGGGTCTATTCAAGTAAAGAATGACTCATTCAAATCTAAGGAGAAATAATAGATATTCCAACTATGTAACCACGATTTCCTCTTACTCTGCCTGACATTTGCCTGTGTGTGTGTGGGGGGGGGGTGAGGGGAGAAAGGGAGGAAAGGCAAAACTAGACATGCGTGACTGATTTTTAAGTGGTTTCCTCTTTTACTGTGAAATGCGTCACACCTGCCAAAGAACACGTTTCGGGTGACGGCGCGGTGCAGTGATGGAGGGCGACCCCAGCTCCCGGTGAGGACAAGGCCTGTGCCCTGCTCCGCACCGTCGCCCCGACACTCTGACCTTGGTAGGCAGGCCTCGCTCCTCCTTCCGGTCATAGCGCCCACGGATGTCACCCTGAGCAAGAGCTCCCTAAATGATGGAATGAGCACAGACGCAGTGGACTGAGAGGGTGACGGCATGACGGCCTCAGGAAAAGATGGGATGTCTTGAGTCCAGTCTGCCTTTAGCCGCCAGGGCAGCTGACCAGAGTCCCTTCTGGGGGGAAACCACGGGCACGCCCATGGCGGCATCTGGCAGGATGGTCACGTGCCCTAGAACTGCCGGGCACTCCTGCTTCTGTGTCTGCCGGGGCCCCTCCTGTCCCCAGCTGTGAGCCTCGCAGAAGGCCACAAGGAGAAAGCTCGTCCTGGGGGAGTGAGGCCCTGTGACAGAGAGGGGGCGGGTCAGTGACCTGCCTGCAGGGCCAGTGGGCCGCTCAGGGCACGGGCAGCACAGGGCCAGCCGCCCCCACACCTGCCCCGAGCTCCTGCCGGCCAGGCCCTGGTCGGCCTCCTCGTCTGCCAGGGCAGTCCCTTGTCCCCAGCCGCGACCGGGCCACCCGGCTCCCTTGCCCACCCATCTTTCTGGCTTCACTCTCTCATTCTGCGGGAACTCGGGTTCCAGCTGCATCTCGAAAGGGGGGGCACGGGAGGCCTGCATGTTGAAGGTGCATTATTCTCCGCTCCGTTGGCATCACCCGGCTACACACAGGTTCCAGCACTGCTGCTGACAAATGTGACCTGGATCCGAGGCCTTTGTGTGGGACGTGATTTTTCTCTCTAGTGTCTGTAAGGTCTTCTCCTTGTCCTCCGTGCTCTGAAATTTCAAAATTACGTGGCTTGGGGACGATCTTCTTGCACCCACTGTGGGCCCCCAGTTGACCTGTTCAGTATGGCAGCTGGTGCCCTCCAGCTGTGGGGAATTTCCTTGAATTATTTCCTTGAAGACTTGTTTTTCTCCATTTCCTCCTTCAGAAACTTCTAACATTCAGGTGGCAAGTGTCCTGGAACAATCCTGTTTTTCATTTTCTCCTGGTTTCCTTTTCTTTCTCTTATACTCAACTTTCAATGAGATATCCTTAAATACATATTCCAAGCTTTTCACCAAGTTTTGTGTCATTTCTGCTTTTCTGTTTTTAACTGACGAATCACAAAGCCCCATTCAGAGAGCGAGGCCTCCTGAGTAT